GGTCCACAACAGCTGGGGTAAAGACAACGGTTGAGGGGATTATTTTCTGAAGAAAATATGTTGAAATACTTGACTTAAAATTTTGATGTTTTATCCAATTAAAATTAGTTATACGTGGGTCATAAAATTTTACTTGGTAAAAAATTTATTGCCACATTATGTCCCATTATCTCCTAAAAGTCTCCTAAAAAGATAAGTTCAGTACTTTTAAACGGGGATCTCTTTATTTTTATTTTTGGCCAACTCACTTTCATTTTCCTTCACCAGTTCAACTCTACGCCTCTAAACAAAACTCAAAATTACTTTCAACCTTTTGTTTTGTTTCTTTATAAATTAACGTGAGTTTTAGATCAAATAGTAATTCGAAAATTTCTTTACTACACTCAAAGCGATTTGGAAGAATGTCTATTGCGAGAAAGCATCAAATCAAATAAGCACATCAGCTTCTCTATTATGCAGTTGAGGGTATATATATATTTTCGAACAGCAAATAAGGAAACCATCAATCTACATGCAGTTTACAAACAAAAGCAAAATTTAGCCACATGGTAAAGTCTTACCAAGAACACATGCTGAAGATGTGGTTGGACTTGAGAAAGATGATCCGGTCAACATTAGAATTTATTAGTATTGGTAAAAAATACAAGTTAAAATACTCGTAATGCAAGATTGATCTTTTTCGTTTCTTTGAAATTTGCTTAATTGTTTGGTCTAATAATAAAAGTTAATTTTATTCGATGATAATATTTTTTAAATAAAAATACGAGATCCTAGATCATAAAGTCGTATTGTGAAAGAGAGATATGTCTCTCACTCATCCCGTAATATAGTTCATTGGCCTTGAATATTTTCGACAATAATAACTAAATTAATACAGTATAGTTTAGGATTTTGATTAGCTTATGGGAAGGTGAAAGGAATTAGAGCCAGCACATATATAGAAAGGGGTGCAGGGTGAGCAATTATTAGCTTCTCTCCACGTCACTGTGAAGAGTGAAGGAAACAAGAGATTAGATTAGAGAGTGGTGGTGGCGGGGTTTGTGGATTATTTTATTAATCTGGTGTTAGAAATAGAAAAGAAGGAGAAATATTTGAAAAAATATTTATTATTTGAAGAAAGATTTATTATCTGAAGAAAAATTTATGTTTTTTTATCTTCATTATATATACTTATACAAACGTTTTATATATAGATCTATATAATAAAATATTTCTAGATATAAAACCAATTAATTTAAATGTATATAATTAATTATAATGTGAACAAAATATTCTAACATAAATACTAATATTCTAAAGCAAATGCTGATATTCTAGTATCTCCTACAAACTCAAGGTGGTGGTGAAGAAATCAACTTGATTTTGGAAAGAAGATTTTGGAAGCATCTAGGGAAGTGAGATTTGGTGAACCAATTTGCAAGTTGATCAATAGAACTAATGAAAATCAAATGAATAGTTTCCTTTGCAACATGATGATGGATAAAGTGACAATTAACCTTGATATGCTTTGTGTGTTCATGGAAGACATCATTGTAAGCCATTTGTATAGCATTTTGATTATCACAATATAAATCAGTAGAGGAAGGCTGAGGAATACCCATATCTTGAAGAAGCCATTGTAATGAAAGAAGTTTTGATGTGATATCATCCAGATCTCTCAACTTTAGTATTAGAGCGAGATGGCATAGTTTGTTTCTTGCTCTACTAGGAGATAAGAGAATACCAACAAAAGGACAATAACCAGTGGTAGATCTGCAATCAGAAGGATCACTAGCCCAATTGACATTAGAATAAGCACAAAGCAGAAGGGAGGAGTTAATAGAAAAATGGAGTCCATGAAACAATGCTCCTTGAACATAGCAAATAGTGTAAAGTACTACTGCATAATGAGTGGAGCGAGGAGTAGTTATAAACTGACTAACAATGTGAATTGCATATGCTATGTCAAGGCATGTCATGGTAAGATAAACTAGACTACTAACCAATTGCCAATAACGAGTAGGATCAGAAAGTGGAGAGCCATCTATAGGTGTAAGCTTAACATGAGGTTTAAGAGGTGTAAAAACACTTTTGCTATCATTGAGTTTAGCTTTAGAAGCAAGATCGAAGGCATACTTTACTTGAGAAAGAAGGTAGCCATCATCTAAAGAGGTGGCTTCAAGCAACTTACAACACCAAGATCTTTCATCTCAAATTTTTGACTAAGAGACCGTTTTACCTACATATCATCTCCAGTAATAATCATGTCATCAACATTAAAAAGTAAAAGGACTATATCCAAAGCAGTGTTTCGAATGAATAAAGCTATATCATGTAGATTGGAAGTAAAACCAAACTCACTCACAATAGCATTGAACTTTGCATACCAAGCTTGAGGGGATTGCTTCAAATCGTATAATGCACATCTCAATCGACATACTTTATTTGAAGGATGATTGAGTCTAGGAGGTGGTTTCATATAAACTTCTTTTTCTAGGTCAACATTAAGAAAAATATTTTTCACATCCATCTGAAACAATTTCCATCTTCGTATAGTAATGATAGTAAGCAAACTGCACGTAGATGTGAGATGAGCAACTAGAGTAAATGTTTCTTCATAGTTTATTCCATACTCTAGTGTTAAACCCTTAACAACCAATCGTACCTTACAACAATCCACAAAACCATCAATTCACATTTTGATTTTGTTCACCCACTTATAGCTTATTAGAGACTTTTCAGTAGGGAGATTAAATAAATCCCAAGTACGAGTGTTCTCAAGAGCCTATAATTCATCTTGCATAGCTTATTATCAAAAAGGGTTAGACGAGACCTTTTGATAGGATTGAGGCTCATGTAAAGAAGTAATAGTAAGAAAACAATGATAATCACGAAGGTAGTTGGGAGGGTTTCTTACTTGAGTAGGGTGACTTAAAGATGGGACAACAGGCTCATTTGTAGACTCAACAATATCATATGGAACATCAACGGGTGATACAGATGAGGAAGTGGAGGAAAGTTCATAATTATCTAATGCATCACCAACAGGTAAATCATCTTCTGTAGAACTAGTTAAAGCATGTGGTAAGGCACTGTAGAGCTCATCAAATGTACTTGTATCAGAATCACTAGGAAATAGCTCAATAGAAGGATTAGAAAAAATGGAGGTTGATGAAATGATGACAATTTGAAGTCTCAAAATGATGAGAACATAGTGTGTTCCCAAAAGACAACATGATGTGAAACTTAGAGTTTTTGTGACATAGGATCTCAACAACAATATCATTTTTGTGTAATCTCACAACCCAAAAAACCACATAATCGAGCTCTAACCTCTAACTTGTTATGTTCATGACATGGAAGAAGAAAAAAACATGAACAACCAAAAAATTTTAAGAAGATCATAGGCAGGAAGAATACCATGCAAACACTCATATGGAGATTGGTTATTAAGGACTGATGATGAAATGCAATTAATGAGATAAATAGTTGTAAGAGTAGCTTCAACCTAAAATTGCTTTGGACGAAAAGACAAAATGAGTAAAGCACGAACATAATCAAGAATGTGTTTGCGTTTGAATTCGGCTCACCTATTCTATTCATAAGTGTAAGGACAAAATTGTTGTGTCAGTGCACCCTATTCTTTGAGAAAGGATTGAAGTTTAGTATCAAGATATTCAGTAGCATTTTCAATTCTCAAAACTTTGATAATTTTAGAGAATTAAGTTTTGACCATGATAGCAAAATCAATATAAAGTTGTGGTAATTTAGGGCCATTTTTCATATGATATATCTAGGTAAAACAAGTATGATCATCAATAAATAACACAAAGTACCTAGAACCTCCATAGTGGATGTAGGAGATAGACCCCAAACTTCAAAATGCATGAGATCAAAAGGAGTAGTAGAAAGAAAATGACTACTTGAAAATGATAAAGTCGGTTGTTTCATAGATTGACATGACACACAATACAATGATTCATTTGAAACAAATCATAATAAACCACGAGAGATAAGAGGATGAAGTTTACTTACTAACTGAGGCATGTTCGAGTCATGAATGCCACAAATGGAGAGGAGAAATGTTAGTTGCAGCATAGGCTTGCAAAATTTGTTGGTATGGAATTTGTAAAGACTCTAACTTAATAGCACAAAGAAGGGTTTGGATGAAGTGATCATTTGGAAATGATGGTGTATCCATTTTATGATGTGGAATATGTAGATAATTGAGCTCAAACATATGCCCTAGCTTGTGATCAATTTTAAGAAGTTGTCCTGTCTATGGGTCCTACACATAACAACTATGAGTAAAAAATGTTATTTCAAGGCCAAGATAACATAATTGTCGAACTGATAGAAGATTATAACTAAGTTTTAGAACTAATAGACCATTTGGTAAAATCAATGACTTTGTAAAAATATTTCCAATATGACTAACATTGATAGGGGAACCATCTATAGAATAAATATTAGCAAAGCAATTATTTAGTGACATTGAAGAAAAATGAGTGGTAGTTGAAGACATATGGTTATAACAATTAAAATCTAAATACTAAGATTTAGGATCTAGAGCAGCACATAAGGTAGTAAGAGTATTAAAAGATTTAATATTACTTGTTTTAGGGATTCAAGGTTGATATTAGGTTGGTCTATCACCTCTTTGGCAATCATAGCAGTACCAGGATAAGTTACAGTCTTTTCAAAACTCTTTCTAGAATTAGTAAAACTTATATTATTGAAAAAAAAAATCTCTAAAAATATGAAAAAATAGATGTCAAGATTAAAATAACAACTCAATAAAATACCTCAAAAAGGCCTAATAATTGAGAATAAACTATCTAATATACAAGAGAAGAGATGCCAACTATAGAATTTCAGAACTAGAATGAATTTGAAAGTCCAACTCAAAAGCCAAACAGTGATGAGCTTATAATTTTGATATCATATTAGAAACAAAAAAGAATGAGAAATATTTGAAGAAAAGTTTATTACTTTTTATTTCATTGTATGTACAAACGTCCTATATATATATATATCTATACAATAAAAAAAATTTAAGTATAAAGCCAATTAATTTAACTGTATATATAATCAATTATAATATAAATATAATAAATATTAATATTTTAAAATAAATACTAATATTCTAACAACTTTCAGTGTGGTCTACAAGTTGTCTATCAATTTATGTCCAATCCCGTGACCATCCACGTACTAAGTTTTAGCCTTTTTCCCATTTGTCCACATAGTACATCTGATCTATTTATGGCCACCGAACATGTTAAGATTGATATTTTATTTATACTTAAAAGAATGACATAGGCTTACAAATTTTTTTTTTAATTTTTATATATTATTAAATAAATATATATAATATTTTAAAGAACTAGTATTTATCCATCTTACTTCTTAAAGATTAAAAAAAAATTATTTTAAAA